GCTGGGTGAGAAGGGGGAGGGGGTGGCTGCCCTGCCCCAGGCACCATCTGGTCATCTTCCTTCCCCGAAGCAGCCACCCGCGAGGTGTCTGCTCCCGGGGGTCTAATCCTGTCGGCAGTGCCCCGCCGTGCTGACGTGTCCCTTTGCCTGGGTCCTCGCAGGTGCTGTGCATGTCAGAAGGAGAATTCAGGGAGTACAAGGAACAAGACGACTGGGAAGATGACAGCGAGGAAGAGGGAAACTCCCCCCTTTCAAACGAGGCTCTCTCCAGACTTAAAAGCCCGTGCAAGCAGCTCCTTCGTGACAGCGTGCTGCTGACCCTGGAGTCCTACGGGTCGGACCTGAAAGCTGAGCAGGACTTGCTGGATAACAAGGAGGCGTATGAGAAGCTGAGTTGGAGGGAGCAGCAAGCTTTGCACGTGCGCTACGGCCAGAAGAAGATCTTGCACCACCTGCTCGAGCTGGTAGGCTAGACAGCTGGCTGCCCCGGGAAGCCGACTGCCCGGGCTGCTCGGGAGGGGACGGTCAAGCCTCCAGCCATCCCCTGCAGCTGCGAGAACCGAGGGCAAGATGGAATAGCACAGGATCACAGAACGGTTTGGGTTGGAAGGGACCTTAAAGACCATCCAGTTCCAACCCCCCTGCCATGAGCAGGGACACCTTCCACCAGACCAGGTTGCTCCAAGCCTGCTGTAGGCTTGGGGCCCACTTGTCCCTCACAGCACCTGGCTTTTCAGTTACCTCTGCATAAAGTACCTTTACCGCATAAAGCGGTCTTGGGTGGCCTTATCTTAGCACGAGAGCTCTGGAGCACAGCTGCCACCTTCTAGAGGAGGTGAGAAACCCCAGCCCTCGTAACAGCTTCTGTGGGGAGGCAGACATGCCGTCAGGACAGCGGGTGGGTTCCCTCAGCATCGGAAAGCAGAGGCAGGGCTGCCGCTTGCCCGGATGAAGAGGGCAGAGAGCCAGCTGGCAGCTCTCCCCTCCCAGGGTAAGCATCTGGCAGGTCGAGCTGCCGGCAAACACTACACCCTGCACCCACGCGCAGTTAATACCGAGCATTTTAAAGTTGGGCCTGTCCCTCTGGCTTCCAGGTAGGCTCTGTAGAAAAGGCGTTTCCGCCCGGGTTTGCTGCTGGGAGGGAGCGCTGGCAGTTCTGCACCTGCTGCAGGCGCATGTGGAACACCCTGGGGTCCGTGTGGTTCTCCCCCGAACTCTGGCACTGCGCTGCATCACGGCGAGCTGCAGCAGGGTCCTCTCCCGGCGGGTTTCACGCGACAGCACCGGGGGCGTGCGGGCCCAGCCACGTTCAATAAAGACCATGTTTCTCACCCCGCCAACACGGCTACTTCAAACAAGGGGTCACGCTGCTGCACTCAGCCTTGCAGACAGACCCAGACCGCACTCCCGCAGGTGAGGGTCAACTGCAGCCCTCCCTGCGCTGCTGGGGGCCAGTTCCACAGCACCCAGGACAGTGTTTTTAATCCCCCTTTTATAGAGGTGTCACACAATGGCTGTTTAGGGTCTGGTCTGCCCTCTCCCCACAGGCTCCATTTCAAGCTAGGGACACAGCGGTTCAAAGGGTTAATCTGTGCTTAAACAAGAGCACAGCACACCCCGGGCCTCTGCTGCCAAGGAGGGGCAATGCCCCTGACCCTGTCAGCTGCAGGGGCCTCCATCCTACCAGCCCGACCGGTTACTGGGGTCTTGCTCCACCTTCCACCCCCGCCCGACACCAGCCGAGCGGTTGGCGAAGCCCGAAGGGAACCAGCCACGCGCAGCAGCGTTAGCGCGGAACCACAGCCCTTCCAGTCGCTGGGACAGGTCAGTGAGCTCTGCACAGGGCTGGCCGAACGGCAGGAGGAAACCCCACGGCATCTGGCCCAGACGGAGAAAAGCCGGCTGCTGGCAATTCTCCGTATCCTAACCCAGTACAGGAGGGAGAGGGAGCTGGAGTTACAACACCAGAACCAAAGCAATTCCAGCTTCCAAAGGCTCGGTTTCAGCACAAGTGCTGACCTGCCGAAGAAGTGCCGGGGAACTGTGGGGAGAGACACCACGGAGGCGACTGAAAAGCACTGCCTACAAACAGGCCCCTTCCAGCTGCAGTCAGCTCAGTGCCCCCCGGAGCCAGGGTTTGCTCCATGCAGCTAAAGCACACAATCCCTTAAAGCCAAGCAGGAAATCCTGCCCTCTCCAGCCACGCAGGAGCAGTCAACTACCTTTAACTACTCATCAAAGCAAGTTCTGCTTCCTCGCACCTGCTGGCTGCCAGGCCTGCCTCCACCACCACTGCCACCTTCCCTCTTGCACTCAGAGCAGTTCTCCCCTCTGACCTCACGCTAGGAAACAAGCCCAAAACAACACTGGAGGGTTGTGGATTTTGGGTAGGTGGAAGAGCCCTGGGAAGAGAGCACCTGGCGGGGCAGGCGGGAACTGGAGAGAAGAAGCAGAGGGGCACGTGCTGCATGTCATGACTTTAATGTGTAACTACAGGATGCATACATACAAGAAGTGGGAGAACTAAAGCCCAAGAACTAGAAAGGCTACAAAATACAACACGTGGACCAATACTTTACAAAACATTCAAAATCCTTACAAAATGGGCTGTATTGGTCCTTTGGGTTTTTTGTTTATCTTTTTTTTTTCCTTTTGGTTTTTTTTTTAAGGTTTTTTTTACAAACTTATACTGTGTGGTCATAGGGTGGGAGATGGGAAAAGGTGTAGATTTAACCCCCTCCCCCCTTTCCAAAATTTACAAGTGTCAAAAAAAAAAAAGGAAGCTATAGGCCTGGTCTCTGGTTTCTTTACTAAAAAGAGCTGACCCTCTCCCAAAGGGCCTGAGGTGTCTTCTCCAACAGAAGGGAGGCATTCCCCGGCTGCCACTCCACCTGCTGTCTGTCAGCATTTGATAAGGGCGGGGGAAAAGCAACACTGAACCGTAGCCCCTTCCTCACTCCTCCCCCTAACTCCAGAGTATTCCCATATTCCAAACACATCCACCCTTTTTTTTGTTTCCTTTTGTAAAACAAGTTAGTGATTTAAAGGTCCCCCATCCACATAAAGAAAAATAAGTTACATAATATTATAACTGGCTTTTCAGTATTCTTTGGGAGTCTGGGAATGTCAGGACAAGGAGGTCTGCCCCAGACAAGTGCTTGGCATCAGCAGCTGCCCCTTTATTACAAGCCGGACAGGCACCAGTTACCCACCTGCCTTTTACACAAATTTGCACAAACCCAAAAGTCCAGACAAACGTTTCTGTTCCTTGTATTTACACTAGTTCAAAATGATATTCACAGCATCTTCTGAATTTTGGCCAAAAGTCAATAATTTGTTTCAAACTTTGGAACGTGCCCGCATAAGACTTTCACCCAGGGTCTGTCACGTCTACCCGATCAAGGGGGCTGGGAAGGTCAGGAGGAGCCTTACGGAGTCTTCTGTCGGTCGATGGGACGGGGAGCTCCAGGCTGGCACGCTTACAGCACGAGATGCAGCTCATCTAACTGGCACCAGTCCCTTCCATGACTTGCTGGGCCTGCTTCTGCCCCATGCAGCACTGTGCAACTGACTGGAACAACCTGCACACGGAAGCAAAGCAGCGTTAGGTGCGCTTACGGCGGCCAACGGCGCTTCCGCGACGAAGCGCCAGAAGCCTCGAGGTGCATCTCGGCCCCGGCTTCAGATATCCATAAAATCGCTAAAAATCTAAGTTATGCTCACTTCTCGATTTCTGGAGCGCAGTGAACAAACTCGTGGTTCCAGAACTTGAATGCTGGATTTTTTATCAGCTCGATGAAAGTGATAAGAAGACCCCAGGGATGAGGCCTATTTACAATCAGTCGTTCCAAGAGAACCCTGAAATCCAAAAGTAAAGCCAGTCAGAGCTCAAGGATCCGAAGTGCACGTGGAAGTGAAAAGCTGGATGCTGGCAAGTTCACTGCCTTCCCTCTCACCTCGTGATCTGCTCCTGGATAGCCTCTGTGTTGGCCTCGGCGAACAGGTACAGCATGGTGCAACTGAAGTAGTGGGTGTGACTGTTGGGATACCGCAGCTGATTGGCAATTGCGTTCAAGAAGAGGTACCGGCCTGCAGGAGGGAACAGCAAGTACGTACGGTTTTCCTTACGCACGGACAGAGAGGAATAAAGTGGCAACTAGTACGGCTTAAGGTGAAGGTTTGTGAGCCTGCCTTAGGAAGGTACAAGAAACGAAAGCAACTGAAGATATATGCCTTATCAACCCAAGCTGATGGGGCAGGAAGAATTTAATCCCTCTTCATTCAACTTATTTCTCATTCCCTTGGAAGACCCTGAACGTTTGCTTTTAATTCTGCCCCTGTATTCACAGTTCAATCACTAACGGGGCATTACTCACTGTGAAGTTGCCAGCAGCTATGTGAAACAACCTTCTGCACTTCTCACAGCCCAAACAATCTGCTCTTAAATCTGACATCCCATGAACTAGGAGCGTTTCCAGCTCACCTTCAGTGTCCAGGTCTACCGCCAAATTCTGGAAGATGTCCATGTGAGCTGAGTGGGTAATGGTGCTCATAGAGGGCGTGCTGCCTTTGTTGTGAATGTGCGCAATAGCTTGAGTACCTACGTAGAGCACCAGTGCGTTAATCAGCTGGATGTTGTAGCGGTTGCCAGGCTCGTTCGATACCTAATAGAGAAGAGATGAAAAGCATTAACATTCTATATTCCCTCGGCAACTGAAGGTACAGCGTGTACAGCAGCAGCATCCAAGTATCTGCTCCATTATACAGACAGCAGCCCACCTACGACATCCACAAATTCAATTTGGCATTAACCTCCTTGCGATACAGCAGTTCTATATATACTTAGATTCAAAAGGAAAGCGTTGACAGACCCTATGGACAGTTTTTGTACTCCCTACCTACCGAAACCCAGCAGGCAGAGGGAACTGAACTGGCCGGCAGTGCCACAGACTGGCTGAAACGCACGTGAACGCCTCAGTCTGAGCGATCTCCCGAGAGCCCAACTTCAGCCCTGAGGGCTGCCGCAAGCCACGTGATGTGCAACGTTGGCTCACGATTCCAAACTGGGCTTCAGGCGATTTGCCTTTTTATTCACCCGTTAAAGCACGCAGATACACAGGTTTCTGTAACACTGAGTTCACGTGGAGTCAAAAACCTAATCAGATTTTAAATCAAGTTCAATAAAACCCACTGAATCTCAGACTGGCTGGCTCGTGCGGATCTCAGACTGGCTGGCTCGTGCGACGGCACGGCCAAGGCTCATGTCACACAACGGTCGAGCAAACTCGGTCTGCAAGGCTGTGCGCTCGAGACGCACAAGCAGAACTGTCAGTTCAGGATAACCTTACGCTTGCACTACACGCACTCGGTGTCTCACACTTCTCGGTCAAGTTGTTTCAGCCAGGTGGAATTTAAGGAAAAGAAACCACCTCACTGTACTGGGTTCAGCCAGGAAAGG